TTTTTGTCTTCTCAATTTCTTAAGATAAAAGTCCCAAGGTTGTTTTGTTTACTAGAAGGACATGCCTTTTGGCAGCATTTTTTGTATAAATTTCTATTGCACAAACAAGTAGCAGATACTGTTACTGAAGCACATAATTTGCATGAATTTTTCTCCATGGCCATTCACGCAAACTGCAAACAAAGTCTTTTACCTCATCCATAGTTGTTGACACTTTGCAACCGCTTTGATGGATGTATTGTGATGTATTTTGACCCCTGGATTCCGACCTTGCATTCTGGCTACATTTACTGCTCTTTCATACCAGTTCAATTTCCTTTCATTATTACATTCAAATTTCATGATATTTAATATTTAAAACCAAACTTTATTTCACAGTCACTTTAGTTTTCACTTTTCTAAAATTATTTTACTGATCAAAAGACTTTTCACTCCCATCATGCAATCCTCCATAGTACTTCCGCAGACACAGTGGCGATCGCTAACATAACTACAAATAACCTCGCTCTCAGGAGCTGAGGAATAATTTGAGGTAGAAATGAAGTAGAAAGTACAGCGCCCTCTTTGGTGAAATGCGTAGTCCTTTTTATCATGTTGATTGAAAGATACTGTAAAGGGGGTAATTATTCACTGGGTTTTAATTCAGCTTATTTCACTGACTGGAAATTGCGCTAAACTAAAACCCAGTGAATATGTAAAATTTAGCATAGAACACATTATCTAAATGACGAAACCGTGAATTTAAAACCCACTGAATATGCCTGAAATGGTGAATCAGTGAAATTTAAACCCAGTGAAAATTAGTCATTTTACAGTAACTAATTTTTAAATTCAAAATGGATGCCCAAGTCTTGGCTGTTTTTTTATAAATGTTCATAGCAATAGTAATTATTAATGTTTTGGTGCATATAATTGCAATATTTAGATTTAACGCCATTATTTTAATGCCTCATTTTGCATATTTTTAAGTAGTTTTCTATAATTTCTTTGTTTGGACCAAATTGACATACAGTAGAAAGTTTTTTTGTTTTGTTTTTCGAGTTCATAAATCACATAGAATAGAAATGGAAGTTACCTTTTTCAAGTGTGTAAATTAAAAGAATACATTTTGATCAATTTAATAAATAGTAATTCGATATTTCAAATAAAAACAAACAGAACATTTGCCGAGATTTAATCTGGAATCGACAGGTTTATAGAAAAGTCATATCACAGTGACCACAGATGTGAAAGACAGTATTCAAATCTGCCAAAAAATAAATTACTGAAGGGATACATTTAATAGTTAGTGTTAGAAAATTAACTGGGTGTGGAAATTAATAGTTATCGTGGTAATTTTGTGTTAATTTTATTTTGTGGGAGGTGAATTGACTTTGGCGCTAACGATAAATATATTAATTTTTTTTTTTTTAAACCCCTCAGGTGGTTTGCTGTACTAGCAGAATACCCTGCCATCAATAGGCTTGCTGCTAAGTCCAAGAAGAAACGAGAGACCCCAGCCCGCCATCAACAAACAACGGTAAATACCTCTCAAATAAATAAAAAAAACAAACAAAAAAAACAGCAATTAAAAAGAGGGGCGACTGAGCTTGTTACCATGGAAACAATGATGTTGTGATTTCTCAAACTGTCAAAAACTACGTTTTTAGTTACTCCCAAGTTTATTTTCTGACTTTCAAATAACTTTCTGTAAGTTTCTGGAAGTTTAGCTGTTATAATTCCGATTTAAATTACGTCATATCATAGCATGACCACTTCTCAAGGATTGTTTTTCTTTCATTGGCACACCCAGATGTTTATTTGAGTTTGTATGCCGGGAATGGAAATTGGATCATTTTTTTCCTGGGGCATGCCACTGGATGTACTCAAGGCTTGTTTCCCTGTTTACTTCCTGTATTAGGAAGATGTGATGAGCGAAATCATTAATATTGCATCCGTTGTGTTTTGTGACGTCTGTAACATGTACGTGGAATAAGTTTGTGTCATTTAAAAGTCAAACAGTATCACATGTATTACATCATGAATCTCTGTAGCCATAGAAAGACAAACTTACCAATAGTTTCTTTATTTACAGAGTAAATTATTTACCAGGTGACAGGGATAATGATATTACTGTTATCTTTCTTTACTTTTTATTATATCATATTTTTAGCTTCGCTGTCGACTTTGTCGAGCGGAGCTTATCATACGAGTGATTGTCTGTCGTCGTCGTCCGTGTCAATGTTTTACTTTTTCGACTTCTTCTTGAAAACTACAAGCCTGAATGCTTTGATACTTCGTGTATATGTACCTTGGGTAGACCTCTCTCAGATTTGTTCATTTCATGATGATATCTTCAATTCTCTAATTTTGGTGAATATTTTTGTCATTTTTGGTAAAAAGTTGATATTTTCGACTTCTTGTTAAAAAT